ACAACAACCAGTGGTACAACAACAACATCTGGAACAACAACCAGTGGTACAACAACAACATCTGGAACAACAACCAGTGGTACAACAGCAACATCTGGAACAACAACCAGTGGTACAACAGCAACATCTGGAACAACAACTAGTGGTACAACAACCACATCTGGAACAACAACCAGTGGTACAACAACATCTGGAACAACAACCAGTGGTACAACAACCACATCTGGAACAACAACCAGTGGTACACCGACATCTGGAACAACGACCAGTGGTACAACAGCAACATCTGGAACAACAACCAGTGGTACAACAACATCTGGAACAACAACCAGTGGTACAACAACATCTGGAACAACAACCAGTGGTACAACAACAACATCTGGAACAACAACCAGTGGTACAACAGCAACATCTGGAACAACAACCAGTGGTACAACAACATCTGGAACAACAACCAGTGGTACAACAGCATCTGGAACAACAACCAGTGGTACAACAACCACATCTGGAACAACAACCAGTGGTACAACAACATCTGGAACAACAACCAGTGGTACAAGAACCACATCTGGAACAACAACCAGTGGTACAACAGCAACATCTGGAACAACAACCAGTGGTACAACAACCACATCTGGAACAACAACCAGTGGTACAACAGCAACATCTGGAACAACAACCAGTGGTACAACCACATCTGGAACAACAACCAGTGGTACAACAACATCTGGATCAACAACCAGTGGTACAACAACCACATCTGGGACACCAACCAGTGGCACAACAACTTCTGGAACAACAACCAGTGGTACAACCACATCTGGAACAACAACCAGTGGTACAACAACTACATCTGGAACAACAACCAGTGGTACAACAACGTCAGGAACAACCACAAGTGGAACAACCACATCTGGAACAACAACCAGTGGTACAACAACCACATCTGGAACAACAACCAGTGGTACAACAGCAACATCTGGAACAACAACCAGTGGTACAACAACAACGTCTGGAACAACAACGAGTGGTACAACAACATCTGGAACAACAACCAGTGGTACAACAACATCTGGAACAACAACCAGTGGTACAACAGCAACATCTGGAACAACAACCAGTGGTACAACAACCACATCTGGAACAACAACCAGTGGTACAACAACATCTGAAACAACAACCAGTGGTACAACAACATCTGGAACAACAACCAGTGGTACAACAACAACATCTGGAACAACAACCAGTGGTACAACAACAACATCTGGAACAAGAACCAGTGGTACAACAACATCTGGAACAACAACCAGTGGTACAACAACCACATCTGGAACAACAACCAGTGGTACAACAGCAACATCTGGAACAACAACCAGTGGTACAACAACATCTGGAACAACAACCAGTGGTACAACAACATCTGGAACAACAACCAGTGGTACAACAACCACATCTGGAACAACAACCAGTGGTACAACAACATCTGGAACAACAACCAGTGGTACAACAAGAACATCTGGAACAACAACCAGTGGTACAACAACAACATCTGGAACAACAACCAGTGGTACAACAACAACATCTGGAACAACAACCAGTGGTACAACAACAACATCTGGAACAACAACCAGTGGTACAACAACATCTGGAACAACAACCAGTGGTACAACAACAACATCTGGAACAACAACCAGTGGTACAACAGCAACATCTGGAACAACAACCAGTGGTACAACAACATCTGGAACAACAACCAGTGGTACAACAACAACATCTGGAACAACAACCAGTGGTACAACAGCAACATCTGGAACAACAACCAGTGGTACAACAACATCTGGAACAACAACCAGTGGTACAACAACAACATCTGGAACAACAACCAGTGGTACAACAACCACATCTGGAACAACAACCAGTGGTACAACAACATCTGGAACAACAACCAGTGGTACAACAACAACATCTGGAACAACAACCAGTGGTACAACAGCAACATCTGGAACAACAACCAGTGGTACAACAACATCTGGAACAACAACCAGTGGTACAACAACAACATCTGGAACAACAACCAGTGGTACAACAGCAACATCTGGAACAACAACCAGTGGTACAACAACATCTGGAACAACAACCAGTGGTACAACAACCACATCCGGAACAACAACCAGTGGTACAACAACCACATCCGGAACAACAACCAGTGGTACAACAGCAACATCTGGAACAACAACCAGTGGTACAACAACATCTGGAACAACAACGAGTGGTACAACAGCAACATCTGGAACAACAACCAGTCGTACAACAACCACATCTGGAACAACAACCAGTGGTACAACAACCACATCTGGAACAACAACCAGTGGTACAACAACATCTGGAACAACAACCACAGCTGGGACAACAACCAGTGGTACAACAACCACATCTGGAACAAGAACTAGTGGTACAACAACATCTGGAACAACAACCAGTGGTACAACAACAACATCTGGAACAACAACCAGTGGTACAACAGCCACATCTGGAACAACAACCAGTGGAACAACAACATCTGGAACAACAACCAGTGGTACAACAACAACTACTGGAACACCAACCAGTGGTACAACAACAACATCTGGAACAACAACCAGTGGTACAACAACAACATCTGGAACAACAACCAGTGGTACAACAACAACGTCTGGAACAACAACCAGTGGTACAACAACATCTGGAACAACAACCAGTGGTACAACAACAACATCTGGAACAACAACCAGTGGTACAACTGCAACATCTGGAACAACAACCAGTGGTACAACAACATCTGGAACAACAACCAGTGGTACAACAGCAACATCTGGAACAACAACCAGTCGTACAACAACATCTGGAACAACAACCAGTGGTACAACAACCACATCTGGAACAACAACCAGTGGTACAAGAACCACAGCTGGGACAACAACCAGTGGTACAACAACAACATCTGGAACAACAACTAGTGGTACAACAACATCTGGAACAACAACCAGTGGTACAACAACCACATCTGGAACAACAACCAGTGGTACACCGACATCTGGAACAACGACCAGTGGTACAACTACAACATCTGGAACAACAACCAGTGGTACAACAACCACATCTGTAACAACAACCAGTGGTACACCGACATCTGGAACAACGACCAGTGGTACAACTACACCATCTGGAACAACAACCAGTGGTACAACAACATCCGGAACAACAACTAGTGGTACAACAACAACATCTGGAACAACAACCAGTGGTACAACAACCACATCTGGAACAACAACCAGTGGTACAACAACCACATCTGGAACAACAACCAGTGGTACAACAACATCTGGAACAACAACCAGTGGTACAACATCCACAGTTGGAACAACAACCAGTGGTACAACAGCAACATCTGGAACAACAACCAGTGGTACAACAACATCTGGAACAACAACCAGTGGTACAACAACATCTGGAACAACAACCAGTGGTACAACAACCACATCTGGAACAACAACCAGTGGTACAACAACCACATCTGGAACAACAACCAGTGGTACAACAACAACATCTGGAACAACAACCAGTGGTACAACAACAACGTCTGGAACAACAACCAGTGGTACAACAACATCTGGAACAACAACCAGTGGTACAACAACAACATCTGGAACAACAACCAGTGGTACAACAGCAACATCTGGAACAACAACCAGTGGTACAACAACAACATCTGGAACAACAACCAGTGGTACAACAGCAACATCTGGAACAACAACCAGTGGTACAACAACATCTGGAACAACAACCAGTGGTACAACAACATCTGGAACAACAACCAGTGGTACAACAACAACATCTGGAACAACAACCAGTGGTACAACAACAACATCTGGAACAACAACCAGTGGTACAACAACAACATCTGGAACAACAACCAGTGGTACAACAACAACGTCTGGAACAACAACCAGTGGTACAACAACATCTGGAACAACAACCAGTGGTACAACAACAACATCTGGAACAACAACCAGTGGTACAACAGCAACATCTGGAACAACAACCAGTGGTACAACAACAACATCTGGAACAACAACCAGTGGTACAACAGCAACATCTGGAACAACAACCAGTGGTACAACAACATCTGGAACAACAACCAGTGGTACAACAACATCTGGAACAACAACCAGCGGGAGAACAACCACATCTGGAACATCAACCAGTGGTACAACAACGTCTGGAACAACAACCAGTGGTACAACAACATCAGGAACAACAACCAGTGGGAGAACAACATCTGGAACAACAACAAGTGGTACAACAAGAACGTCTGAAATAACAACCAGTGGTACAACAACACCTGGAACAACAACCAGTGGGAGAACAACCACCTCTGGAACAACAACCAGTAGTACAACAACGTCTGGAACAACTACCAGTGGTACAACAACGTCTGGAACAACAACCAGTGGTACAACAACATCAGGAACAACAACCAGTGGTACAACAACATCTGGAACAAGAACCAGTGGTACAACAACAACGTCAGGAACAACAACCAGTGGTACAACCACATCTGCAACAAAAACCAGTGGTACAACAACGTCTGGAACAACAACCAGTGGTACAACAACCACATCTGGAACAACAACCAGTGGTACAACAACAACATCTGGAACAACAACCAGTGGTACAACAACAGCGTCTGGAACAACAATCAGTGGTACAACAACATCTGGAACAACAACAAGTGGTACAACAACAACGTCAGGAACAACAACGAGCGGTTCAACAACGTCTGGAACAACAACCAGTGGCACAACCACATCAGGAACAACAACCAGTGGTACAACCACATCAGGAACAACAACCAGTGGTACAACAGGTATTAAGTAAATGCCATGGTTAATTTCTTGAACTAGCATATGCATCTCGACCAAGATTGCGGGTTTTTAAATATCCTTTATTCTTTATTACAGTGTGTGCAAACGTCATGGAAGATGTGCCATTGGATGATTTCAAGGACCAAACCACATTATCGACCTTGCAGTCGATAGGTCTCGTCTCCTTCACGAACAGTGATGAAGTGATAGAAACTGTGACTGCAGCATCTGCCCCTCTTGTCAGAACAAATGTCAACGTGAGTTTGTTAGCATATCATGGAATGTATGTCACTTTATCAGATCCTATCTGCCAACATGTGCTGCCTTTCCAATATGCCTGTGTAGCAACATCTATTTTCTGAGATTACAGAAACTAATGACTGGTAAATGTTATTTCATGGACAAGATTGCGATATTCGTTTTATAATTCCATGTTACGACCATATGCTATAACACAATGGTATTCAAAACATATATATTCTACAATAAAGCAAAGTTAAGTCTTAAACTAATTTTTACTAGGCATGTTTGTCTCATTGCTTAACTGACTGTTTTCTTTCAAAGGGTGACGGCACTATCACGACTAAAGACAATGGCAACGTGAAACTGGTTGCTGTGAAATACGATAAAACAAGTATTCCTACAAGCCCCAGAGTTACAGTTGGTAAGTATACCAGAACATATCATACAAAGAGCACATTTCATATTTAAGACATATTCTTTTGCAACACATTATTTATTTGAGCTTCACTCTCGACTCAAATTAATGTTTGGTAGTGTTTGTATCCATTTCAAAGGCGATATCTCATTGTACTTTGAACATCTCGTTTTACAGGGAGCGCAGCACCATTGACGCCAGTTGGTGAAGCACTTTTGGTCTCAGGTGACAAAGTGTTTTACTTTCTCAATCCTGGAACACCAAGCAATACATTCACAGTATCTGACTCGCCAAAGGATGTATTTACACGTGCTCCTGAAACGGTAAGATGCTATATAACTTTGGGGTGTACCCCTTCTTCTTATACACATAAACTGAATAAAGATCCCTGTAATTAAATTCTGAGAATGCTTCAATTTTGAATATGACACCCAAACTTCTTTGTGTTTTTTAAAGAGTCCCGGTACATTTAGAGTTGATGGTAAAGAATTTGTGGATGTTGGAAAGACGGTAACGGCTGGAAAGATCTGCAGAGAAGAAACAACAGGTTTGGAGAGAAAATAATGCAATTTGTTTCTTTCAAACTTACCGTGTCATCAGTTCTTTTTAGGACGACTCTAAATCACCTTTGTGAAAACCCGTATCATTTTCAAATATCTGAAAGCTACCAGTTTATTCAGGTCACCTGTACAGCAGCGTGTTGAACTATTTCTTTGTAAACTAGGCACAACAACCAGTGGAACAACTACATCAGGAACAACAACCAGTGGTACAACTACATCAGGAACAACAACCAGTGGTACAACCACATCTGGAACAACAACCAGTGGTACAACCACATCTGGAACAACATCTAGTGGTACAACCACATCTGGAACAACTACCAGTGGTACAACAACAACATCTGGAACAACAACCAGTGGTACAACCACATCTGGAACAACCACCAGTGGTACAACAACATCTGGAACGACTACTAGTGGTACAACAACAACATCTGGAACGACTACAACCAGCGGTACAACAACTAGTGGGACAACCACAACCAGTGGAACAACCACAACCAGCGGTACTACTACATCCGGAACAACAACTAGCGGAACAACAGGTATTATAGTGAGAAGAATAAATCAGACATGAAAAAGCTTATAATCTGGCAAGAGAAATTGTTGTTGTTATAATTTGGAACACTTATATGCTGTGCCTCTGTATAATCTGGGATGATGTTAATTAGCTGTCCAGAAAGAAGCATAGAATTGCCTGTTATGTTCGAAAACACTGTATTTGTATTTTTTTGTATTTATGACAAGTTATGGCATTTTGGAATGCTGTGGAGTCAAAGTAAAATAATGTGATATGCTTCCACATCAGTTGAACGAGATAATATGAAGAGAAATATCAGCTCAGTGTTGAAGTGTTTTTTCATGTTTTGATCAACTTGAATATTCTTATGTCGACTACATAAGGGTTTTTCCGGCCTTGAATATTTTTCACATTTTGTCTGCACATGAACATTTCGGGAGATCATGCGGTAATAATAATAATAATAATAATAATAATAATAATAATAATAATAATAATGCCCAAACTTTGGGCAGAGTACAAATGTAGACTTAAGAAAATCTGTTGTTCAGAGCTGGACGCCCAATTAAGTCAAAGCCACAAATACTTATGCTGTACCCGTCCTTTCGTATTCTTTTGGTGTTGTTGATTGGACGAAACAAGAAACTCAGGGTATTGACATGTACACCCTCACACGAAGGATCATGTCAGATAATATTTCCCACCACCCCCGCTCGTCCCTCAGTCGCTTACATTTACCAATCACAAAGGGAGGGTGTGGTTTAACATGGAGGCTCTTCATGATAGAATGGTATTGTGCACTTTTGCACACATTTATTTGTCTGATGGTCCTCTTGTGAATCATGTCAAGACACATGAAGAAAACAAGGCATTCCTCGGTTTTCTTACACGAGCCAAGGATGTGGGACATAATCTCAATGTCAATGTAGATTTTGTTGATGGTTCTGTACTGCTGGACGGTACATGAATAAGTGTCAACCAAGCGAAGTGCCATATAAAATCGGCCCAGACTCAGTTTTCAGGGAGAGGCCATCTGAACGACCACTGCATCGAAGTTTATGTGCACTGTGTTGAGAAGATCAGCAGCCCACCAGAGTCCTTCGCTTGGATGAAGTCGGCTGGCCTGAAAAGTGAAACAGAAGGCTTTCTGTTTGCTGATCAGGACCAGTCACTTACCACTCGAATCCGTCAATGTGTGATTTTGCATCAAAATTTAAACATGAAATGTAGATTATGTGATAAATTTAATGAGATTTACCAACAAATTGTAAGTGGATGCCCGCTTTGGTGCAAACATCCATCCATGCTACGACCCGGAATATGGAGGGGTTGTTATGAAAAATGATAAATTCAAACGTCTTTGAAATAGGCCCCTTTACAGACTCAGACATATCCAGGCCAACCAACTTGATCTTGTCCTTTTTGATAAATCCAATGAAATCATTCGTGTCATTGAATTTTCTGTCCCTTTTGACACTAATGTGATGGACAAGAGTCGGGAAAAACATCGCAAATATGCGGACCTCGCTTTCGAAATGTCACGCTTACACCCCAAGTACCAAGTAGTCCGAATCCCTATTGTTCTCGGTGCCTCAGGTATGGTAACTCCAAACCTGTTGACAGACATTGGGAGAGTATCCGGGTTTGCCACCAGTAATACAGCCCTTCTGACAATCTGGGTAATGCAGAAGGATGCAGTATTGGGGAGTCTTCATATTCTCCGTAAAGTTCTAGGATGGGTTTGACTGGGACGCGCTTCCTGGGAGAAGTCCCATTCGTTGTTTAGGCTGCGTGTAGAGGGGACAAGGGCCCTGAGCTGATGATGAGCCTAACCAGCCTGACTCTGCCAGGATCACCCAAACCCTCTTTGCTGCATTTTCTATATTAATCTGTACATAATTATACATGTTTATTTGTAATTCGCTGGAAAACATCCACGGGGTAATCAAGCATCAGTTTGGTCTTGCCAGTTATATAGTTTGTTTGGGTGGCATGGCACCTATATTAGTATTTTGATTCTTTCAATTACATGTATATGGTTTAATAATTCAACAAAATGCATTGAGACATAGAATCTGACATGCAACTTCTTTTCCTCTGTTATTGCAGAAGAAGGATGCAAGCAATATAATATGAATGGCACCAGTGACGATGCCCCGTTCAATGTCGAGAAGTTTATTGTCGGAAACAAGACTGTTCTCGAAGTGCATTATAGCCCTTCAGCCTTTGTGGATAAGTACTACACAAGAGCACCACCAAACACAGAACCGAGCTTCTTTGAAGTTATTTCAACTTCGGTAAGTACCAGACTATATGTCTAAAAGTAAAATTATTATGAGAAGTAGTATGTTTTGCAGCGACTAATGTGTGATTACTGAGAAGAAGAAGAACTGGCGATTTGTGGACGTTTTACTCGGCTTTAAACAATATTCAAAATCTATCTGACCAATCCGGCCAATGGGCGTAAAGTGACAAGTTTCACCAAGTAACTCAATCCAATGGAAAAAGTAATATTGTATGCCTTTCTTTTTACGAACATATAATTTGCCAACCATAACTTCATATTATAACATTGCATCTAACTTCAGTAACTGATCTCACACAACCAGGCTTACACCTCTGTTCCAAGGAGCACGGCAGCCCTACTGTTGTAAAGAGCTCCCTGTACCTACAAGTGTGAAATGTCTGTCAGGCTCAGCTTGCCGGTTGCTCGAAGCCTACATGCACCTCCTTGACTTGTCAACATTATCTTGCTTTTAAACAAGCGCTTAAAACTAAAACCTACGTAAGGGGGTGTTAAAGTCAAAACCGCACATCCATATATAGTCTTCGTTTTATATAATTTTCTTCGTTTAATGAATCTGTATTTACCTAAAACAAGGCAACACAGTTGGCTCCAAGCTGAACATGTGAATGTGGCTACACCAGTCGGTTCACATCTGACTAATGCGTAAAGTAACAGGCAGCCACCCATTAACATACCCTACCCTTTGTTTAAGCGTGATCCTGGTGTCAGTAGAGAGTTGACTTTTGAGGAAACCACCAAAGATAAGCAGACTATCCTTGTGACGGTGGGGTCACTTGACGAGGCAGAACAAATGACATTCACTCAAGGTAACATGTTACGTCTATCCCTAAATGAGGATAAATACGAACATTATTAAGGCTTTCTTCATAACTTTTTCATTGTATTACAACTTTTTAATATAATTTAAATAATAACTTAATAATATAATTTTTATTATTATATCTTAAGAAGAACAAAAAATAGGGATTACCGGGAAACATTTGCTTTCTGCTAGCCAATTATTCCTTCGTATTTAAAAAAAAAGGCATTTCTTAAAAAAAAGTGCAACTAATTTCTGATGTGATATCAGTGCACAAGGGGTAGGCAATAGATTACCTCTACCCATTATTGTGCAGTATGATGCACCCTTTACGGAGAGAAAACACTTTACGGTCTTCATTTCACTTCAGTGGGCACAGGTTCTCTCATCACACCCATTGCAAAAGAAATTGGAGAAAACGCATTTAGCAGAGAAACGGTCGTATGTGTTTTCTTCAATAAAGCCGATGTGGTAAATGGGATTACAGTGAACGGAAACTTCAGACAGGCCACATCGTTGAAATACGTTGCAAAGTTGGTTGACGTAAGTATTGTAGAAACATACCATGATGACTGTTAACCATGAATTATTCTATACTACAGCTCTACACAGTTGGTGGTGAGATCACATGGAAAGTCATCACGCCTACTTGTGATCAGATGTCTAACGTTTATGGAATAGTTATCGCTTGTATTTCTCTTTTGGTTCGATATATGCCGCAGTTACGTTAGACGACCATAGTGTTACTCCTCTGGTGGACACAATCAGTTTTCTGTATTGTTGTATTCCTCTTGAAAACAGCTGCATATTAACTCAAATCACTTACTTCCTATATTTGCACTGTTGTTTTTGTTCTAACTGATCATATCTCACAAAATTGCAGAATTCCTTGACCGTAAACAAGCAACTTAAAGGCTATGTTATAACCTTCAATGGTGTGATCGAAAATCTGGAGGACACTGTTGGTGTTTGTGAGGAAGAAAGTAAGTTTGTTTTTCTACTAATGTAAATTCCTGGTTTCATTACGTGTGAAAGATCATGACTTCAGCTGCTTAACTTATTTTGATCAGCCTTGGCCGATTTGAAAACAACATCAATAAAAAGTACCCTTCTTGGATGCAACAGATATGTTACAGTTATAAAATCTGATCGTAACATCATAATATAAAATACACTTTGAATGAATGTGCTTCCCGTGACCATTAAATCATTTATTTTATATTATGAAAACCTGTGCAGCGATTCACTGAAATAAATTACCTATGTATTTTCATATATTGTGTCCATAGAAAAAAAATAATTCGGTAAAATAGGCTGTACCCAGCTGCATTTCTTTAACTGTGTTCAAGTGGCCACTGGTATGTCTCATTCAATTTACTTATGTCATAATTAATCTTGCTTTCAGCAACTGGAACTACACAAGGTAATGTTGAATGAATATAAAACTTTTAAGAAAACATCAAACTCTATACAATGTCATCTTGTTGCAGTTAGTTTCAATGGCACTAACAAAGAACGGAAATAGAGATTATATTTGAAAATAATGGTACAGAAATACTTGGAGGGAATGTGGGGCTGGTGGCAATGGTTGCGGGGGGGGGGGGGGGGGGGGGGGAAGAGGAAATTCTTGGTAGGCGATACCAGCAGCATCGTCCCGACACAATGGAAGATTATGGTTGCCAAGGATACACAGTATAGTATGTGAATGATGTATGATACTGCTATTGCAAGCGACAAAATTAAATTGCGCACTAGCGATGATACAGTAAGCGAGAGAAGTTTACGGACAAGACAGGAGTATAATCATATGTGATCAGCTGATAACGGTGCTAATTATAGGAACAACGACAAGTGGCACAACAACCAGTGGTACAACAAGTACATCTGGAACAACAACCAGTGGCACAACAACCAGTGGAACGACAACCAGTGGTACAACAACCAGTGGAACAACGACAAGTGGTACAACAACCAGTGGTACGACAACAACATCCGGAACAACAAGTGGTACAACAACAACATCTAGAACAACAACCAGTGGCACGACTACAAGTGGTACAACAACCAGTGGTACAACAACATCTGGAACAACAACCAGTGGCACAACTACAAGTGGTACAACATCATCTGGAACAACAACCAGCGGTACAACAACATCTGGAACAACAACCAGTGGTACAACAACATCTGGAACAACAACCAGTGGCACAACAACAACGTCTGGAACAACAACCAGTGGCACAACAACAACCAGTGGCACGACAACAAGTGGTACAACAACCAGTGGTACAACAACAACTTCTGGAACAACAACCAGTGGTACAACAACAACATCTGGAACAACCACCAGTGGCACAACAACAACGTCTGGAACAACAACCAGTGGCACAACAACAACCAGTGGCACGACAACAAGTGGTACAACAACCAGTGGTACAACAACATCTGGAACAACAACCAGTGGCACAACAACCACATCTGGAACAACAACCAGTGGTACAACGACCAGTGGTACAACAACATCTGGAACAACAACCAGTGGTACAACAACCACATCTGGAACAACAACCAGTGGTACAACGACCAGTGGTACAACAACATCTGGAACAACAACCAGTGGTACAACAACAACATCTGGAACAACAACAAGTGGTACAACAACAACATCTGGAACAACCACCAGCGGTACAACAACCAGTGGTACAACAACATCTGGAACAACAACCAGTGGCACAACAACAACCAGTGGCACGACAACAAGTGGTACAACAACCAGTGGTACAACAACATCTGGAACAACAACCAGTGGCACAACAACATCTGGAACAACAACCAGTGGCACAACAACATCTGGAACAACAACCAGTGGCACAACAACAACCAGTGGCACGACAACAAGTGGTACAACAACCAGTGGTACAACAACATCTGGAACAACAACCAGTGGCACAACAACAACCAGTGGCACGACAACAAGTGGTACAACAACCAGTGGTACAACAACATCTGGAACAACAACCAGTGGCACAACAACAACCAGTGGCACGACAACAAGTGGTACAACAACCAGTGGTACAACAACATCTGGAACAACAACCAGTGGCACAACAACAACCAGTGGCACGACAACAAGTGGTACAACAACCAGTGGTACAACAACATCTGGAACAACAACCAGTGGTACAACAACAACCAGTGGCACAACTACAAGTGGTACAACAACATCTGGAACAACAACGAGTGGTACAACAACATCTGGAACAACAACCAGTGGTACAACAACAACATCTGGAACAACAACCAGTGGTACAACAACATCTGGAACAACAACCAGTGGTACAACAACAACATCTGGTACAACAACAAGTGGTACAACAACAACCAGTGGTACAACTACAAGTGGTACAACAACATCTGGAACAACAACCAGTGGTACAACTACAAGTGGTACAACAACCAGTGGTACAACAACATCTGGAACAACAACCAGTGGTACAACAACATCATCTGGAACAACAACCAGTGGTACAACAACAACACCAGGAACAACAACCAGTGGTACAACAACAACCAGTGGCACAACTACAAGTGGTACAACCACATCTGGAACAACAACCAGTGGCACAACAACAACGTCTGGAACAACAACCAGTGGCACAACAACAACCAGTGGCACGACTACAAGTGGTACAACGACCAGTGGTACAACAACATCTGGAACAACAACCAGTGGTACAACAACAACATCTGGAACGACAACCAGTGGCACAACGACAAGTGGTACAACAACAACATCTGGAACAACAACCAGTGGTACAACAACAACATCAGGAACAACAACCAGTGGTACAACAACAACCAGTGGCACGACTACAAGTGGTACAACAACATCTGGAACCACAACCAGTGGTACAACAACAACATCTGGAACAACAACCAGTGGTACAACAACTTCCAGTGGCACAACTACAAGTGGTACAACAACCTCAGGTATAACAGGTTATCTGGGTGTTATACGTGAGGATATTTTAATTGTGGATTTCATGATATATCTTTCAGGCACGTTCTCAGATCATTTTCCTTTTTCGTCCATTTCTATGCAAAGTCGGGTGTTTCATCGGAAAAAGAAACGGTAATTTCCTGAAGATATATACGGATTATTTTGCGGTATCGTGAGAAGCGGTTGTCACTTGTTTTTTTCTGGAAGTTAGCCGTAGAAGTATTATAGTAGCAAGAGCAAGTCACTGCATCATAAACGGGAACAAGAACGCTTACTCCACTCAGTGAGCATAATGCTTGACCTTAAGTCCCTTGAAACCATCATAATTGTAAACAACGTAATATAGCAAGGCATTTACATTTATTGTGCTAGCAGCTCTCATGAGCATGTCCCCAAAGTCCAAACACGACTCTGATTTAATTGTTTGACGCTATCACGCCGTGCCCACTCCTGTCTCAAAACGTTTCTTAGTCAGTCGACGAAACCTTTCTTTTTCTTTGATAGTATTACATACTATGTGATAACGACATCACCTGTGGTTGATGCCCCTGAACTAAGCTTTCTGCATACACTTCCCAAGAAAACGTTTTGTTGTTGTTCCTTAAATGGCTAATACGTCCTTGCAGTAATCATTTAATATAACTACCCTATTAACTCTTCATAATCACTCCCGATACGATCCCTTATTTGTCCTAAAGGTATGCTGATAAGTATTTCACACAGACATGCATTTTAGTTTTGCAACACTTCGGATAAAATAACACATATGTACACACAAATACGCTTAAAACGTAAGGTAACCATTCGGGCGTTTTTGTTTTCACAATTTCAACAAGCTGGTTTTATTCTGGAAAACGGCGGATGTGTGGTAAATATCAATATTTGTCTCTTAATAACTCATTTGTGAATTAATGTAATCTGATAAATGGGTGTCTTTAAATAGCCTTTCTTCTCCGTGTCTTTATACATTTCACAATTACTTCTACACTCTTGTTTACCTTTGTATAGACTTTTTATGATCAATACATCTTGTTGTAATGAAACATGGGATAATTGTAGCTCTACTTTGGAAGTAAACATAAGGCGAATAGTAACACTCACAATTTCTCAGTAAGGTCAGTTAGGTAATCAAATCTTGAATTCGTGTCAGTTTAAGCCGACAGAACGAAGACAAGGTATACATTTCATGCTTTTTTCTACGTCTTGGGAACAATAGGTGGTTGTACTTGATGTCAGGTTTGAAACTAAGTACAGTGTTACAACGCATGATGAACGTCAAATGAAATCCAAACTTTATACGCAAACTAGGCACAACAACCAGTGGTACAACAACCACCTCAGGTACAACTACAACATCTGGAACAACAACCAGTGGCACTACAACTACCAGTGGTACAACAACCAGTGGCACAACAACCAGTGGCACAACAACCAGTGGCACAACAGGTATTAAAGTAAATGTCATGAATTGTTTCTGAAGCTGTTTAGAACTCAAAAGAAACGGATTGACAACAAGCAGTACAACTACAGCAGGTTCCTAAGTGCATTGTTTCAGAAAGGTCTCTGGTTCTAAAAGAAGACAGACTGGCTGTTTGATATTATGATATTACCTTACTGCTCCGTGTTGTACCACCTATATTTATTCCCTGGTGTATAATTTGTACTTATAAGAAAATTCATATCTCTAATCTATTTACAGGAACCTGCACACGTGAGAGTATCACTACTGTAGTTGTGGAAAACGGTGATGATGTTTCTTTAGTCTCTATTCGCACTAAGAACGACGAAATAGTCGGCGATGTGAACCTCGGTTTGTCATCTGGCACCGCACATTTGTTTTCAACCATACAAGAGATGCCTGTAAGTACTGACCATAGCAAGTGTTTAAGTAAAAAACCAAACCAATGATCACAAATTATAGGGAAGATTTTGCTTTCGTTTCTATTGCACCAATGTTCAATATATTGAGTGTCATAAGTGTAATTTTCTGGAAAGTCAGACCCAAAGTAGACACAATTTATGTCTTGCTTGACAACGGTATAACGATCTATACCGAAACGTCACCTTTACAGTAATTAAAGAAGTTGTTATCCATACATTGTGTCTACTTTGTCATCTGTCAACTTCTAAGTAATGCCTATCAAACAATTCAAGTCAGACCCAGTAACACAATCGTAAGAGGCGCCAAATTACGTTTCAATAATAATAATAATTATAATAATAAGTGCTGCAATCTCGAGAGATAAATTACCGTTATACAAGCTAATGCTTACATCATAATATATACTTACAATTGAAATGGTTTTGTCTACAATGAATATGAAATTATTTGTTTTAGGTTATGAAAATCAATTACCGACATATTGTGTCCATAGATAAAATCATTCGTTAAAATAGGCTGTACCCAGCTGCATTTATTGAATTGTGTTCAGGTGGCCTCTAGTCTGTCTCATTCACTTTACTTATGACATATTTAATCTTGCTTTCAGAATCAGGAACTAAACCAGGTAATGTTGAATGAATACCATGTGAAACTTTTAAGAAAACATCCAACTTTGTGTGATTTCATAATGTTGAAGTTGGTTTTCAATGCCAATGGCGAAATAGCCAGAGCAAGTGTTTAAGTAACGATGATCACAAATCATAGAAAGCTTTGGCCACTGATTTTATTTTACTAACTTTCAATGTATTTACTGCCATAAGTGTAAGTTAATGGAAAGTCTGATGCAGCAACCAACTTGTATAAGGGGTGAAATTACGTTCTTTTGAGAGTAAACTTACTGTGTGCTTAGAGTCCATTCGCTGTGTAATAAAATTAACGTACTCAGTTTCAAGCAACTAAAGAAAAGAGTGTTCAAAGTGGGGAGAATGCACTGCATACAGGTTGTTAGGGCAACGAAATATAACAACTCCTATGAACTAATCATTGTGACTATATATTTCCTAAAACACTATACAATATGGTTTAAAGTAAAATATTTCACCTAGAGAGTGTCCATTACTCGATATGACATAAGAGTAAAACATGCATGACGTTACAATCCTTCTCTTTTAAGCGTGCCAACTCAAGCATCATTTTGAGTGTGACAGATGACATGAAGGATGGATTTTCTTTGGTGGCTACTGGATATATTGCAGGCGAATTTTTCATCACCGAAACAGGTAAACTTCTATTGATGAAAGATTTATATGACATGTTTTTAGTGTGGAGATATATGTTACACTATAGTGACTGAGGATAAATGCATGGTAAGAGTATTGATAATAATGTTCGTTCAAAGGATAAATATTTCTTGAAGGAGTATATATGAAATAATGAATTAAATCAAGATATATTTAACTGAGAAATTTGAAATATGTGATTGCAAACATTTTTGCATTACATGGTGAAGCCTCGAACTGTTGAAGTTTGATAACGAGTGTATTAGGTATAAACGTATTCTTTCTATTTAGCTCTTGTAAATTTAGGGCGTGTATCAGGTAAAAACGTACCTTAGATTTGCCATCTGTATAAATCCGTGTAGCATGGGTTGTTCTAAAATAGTTAAAGAGGCTGAGAGAATCTATCTACTTAAGCATTAAAATATGGCTGGGCATGATCTGGTGTGTAGTAGATTATGGTTAGGTCTCAAATAGCTATATTTGACGAATATTTGTACAAGAGGAGACTGATTAACTGATTGGGCAAACATGTAAACATGGCATGGCAATTAATATTTAAGAAATCCGCCTGGTAATAAATAAAACAAAGAACCAAAGACCTGATTGTTTTACATTTTAATATGGATATAAATTCTAGGTACAAGTTTACGATGTTCAAATGTTCATCCATTGCAGTTAGTGGTGCATCTGTAACCTTTACTATCGAAGCCAACACACCTATGGCCGTTATGGTGACTGTGAAGAATATTGATCCATCCAAACAGTTGACGATAAGATATACCGAAAGTATTGATCAACTGAAGATTGTGAAATCTCTTGATGAATTTGATGTGAGTACTTGCGAAATGTTTGCTGAGGGTTGCCCAAACTATTTTGATTAAGCTCATTTGGATATATCCACATGACCTAAGATGACCATACTGACAGCTGAGTTTGCGCCTCTTTAAGCAGTCCTTCAATCAGCGCTTTCCATCTTGGCAAACTCCATCAGCACAATTAGATAGTTCAGTAGCATAACTTTGTTTATCTCCTTTATGTGAAAACATATCTCTTCTTGACGTTGACAGTTCTTATCTTTTCTTTATAGCTTCCACGCCCCATATCAATCAACCAAGTAACCCCCATTATCATTGCGCTTATTAAACCTAGAATGAATGAGGATCAGCTTACGAATGCCATCAAAGAGAATGGTGGCATCAGTTATTGTGGAGAGGAAACAACAGGTAAGTTTGAGATTTTATGATAGGTTCTCTAAAATATTATAATTGAAGTTTCGGAACAGGAAAGAGGATAAGGATTTATTTGTAATAGTCTTTTATACAACAATTGCCAGTTATATAACAATGAATATGCCCATGGCCTTTTAATGTTTGAAAAAGATCAAGGACATAATGCCGGAGATTCGAAAAGGAAATGTATACTCAGACCCCATTTTGGCCTACTACAATTTCTCAAATTGAACATTAGGAAAATTGCTAAGAAGTCAACATATGATTGTCATCTTATCATTTCTTCCTTCCAATCTTTGTTTGTTGTGACATAGACGTGACTTCATGTCCTAAGTTTTATCTGAAATATGGTCATTAAGAGTTTTATGTATTATTAAGATTTTCTGAGAGGATAAGATATCATACGACTATTATAATGGATCCATGTTATAGCACCAACATTTGATGCATGTAGCTTTACTTGAGAGGAATCCTTATATTGGTATCGGAAATTGTGTATTATATTCGCATGTTTAACAATTTCAACATTTTCTCATTATTCAGCAGCAACAACGTTCTCGACTACTTCTGCTATGCCTTGGACATTTAAAAAAGAAAATGCAATCATACAACATATCACATAGAAATAAAGAGTTACAATATCAAAACTTGAGTTATTTTATGCATGATGATCATTTAAGTGTTAGAAAAATAATACGATTTTTACATTTGACATATGTTGATGTACTGACTATTACGAGTTTATTATCGTGTGCCTATATATTTTAGCTTGGTTTTTATTCATAACTTCATTTGCTTAATGTCCTTGAAGAACTATCAGTGGGAAAGCACTTGTCACCTTATATCACACATCGCTTCATGATATGTAACTTTAATTTCATTGAATGTCTTCATACAGATCCTCTTTTTTTATAAGCTGATTTTATACTGATTCGATTTGTATGCCTGATTGATTTGATTTTCACCCCAATGACATGTAGTGATTTCAGAAGAAAGGTGATGGATGACGACAGACATGTAATTCTAATTTGAAATTCATTCATCAATATATTGTAATTGACAACGAATCTACAATATAAAATTCATGGAATCAGTCAATACAAGCTATTTTTAAACACATTATATTATATTATCGCTTAACCACTTACATGTTTGTAGGAACTACTACTAGTGGAACAACAACCAGCGGAACAACAACAAGTGGAACAACAACCAGCGGAACAACAACAAGTGGAACAACCACAACAAGTGGAACAACAACCAGTGCAACAACAAGTAAGTAAAGTCTTAGTACAATACACTTACCACAAAAAACAAAAACCCAAAAATAGAAAGAAATACCTCTAAGTTATGAAAAGCAATATCACCAGTATTTTCGACGTATGACTAACGGACAAAATCGTAAAAATGGAATGCATATTCATCAGAGCTGAAATACCCACCACAACAAAGAACAACTGTAGCAAATTGTAGGGGAAAGGACAAATGACACTTTTGAAGCTCATATTTCTCTTCTAATGATTAACGAAATACACAACCAACAAGATAATAATATCAATTAAGTAGGAATATCTACGAATGGGACAACTTCTGGAACAACAAGATACATAACCAGTGGTACTACCACGTCTGGAACAACAAGTGGAACTCAAACTTCTGGTATAACGACAAGTGATACTTCTTCCTCGGGAACCACAACAAGAGGAACCACTACTTTTGGAACAACCACAACCAGTGGAACTACCACGTCTGGAACAACAACAACCAGTGGAACTACCACATCAGGTACAACAACAAGTGGAACTACCACGTCTGGAACAACCACGACCAGTGGAACTACCACATCAGGAACAACAATCAGTGGAACTACCCCATCAGGTACAACAACCAGTGGAATTACCCCATCAGGTTCACCAACTAGTGGAACTATCCCATCAGGTACACCAACCAGTGGAACTACCACGTCTGGAACAACTACAACCAGTGGAACTACCACATCAGGTACAACAACCAGTGGAACTACCACATCAGGTACAACAACAAATGGAAGTACCACGTCTGGAACAACAAAAACCAGTGGAACTACCACATCAGGTACAACAACAAGTGGAAGTACCACATCAGGTCCAACAACCAGTGGAACTACCACCTCAGGTACAGTAACTAGTGGAATTACCACTTCTGGAACAACTACAACAAGTGGAACAACAACTTCTGGAAGAACCACAACCAGTGGAACTACCACGTCTGGGACAACAACAACCAGTGGAACTACGACATCAGGTACAACAACCCGTGGAACTACCACCTCAGGTACAGTAACTAGTGGAATTACTACTTCTGGAACAACTACAACAAGTGGAACAACAACTTCTGGAAGAACCACAACCAGTGGAACTACCACGTCTGGGACAACAACAACCAGTGGAACTACCACATCAGGTACAACAACCCGTGGAACTACCACCTCAGGTACAGTAACTAGTGGAATTACCACTTCTGGAACAACTACAACAAGTGGAACAACAACTTCTGGAAGAACCACAACCAGTGGAACTACCACGTCTGGGACAACTACAACCAGTGGAACTACCACATCAGGTACAACAACCAGTGGAACTACCACGTCTGGAACAACAACCAGTGGAACTACCACCTCTGGAATAACCACAACCAGTGGAACTACCTCATCAGGTACAACAACTAGTGGAACTACCACCTCTGGAACAACGGCAAGTGGAACTACCACTTCTGGAACTACCAGAACCAGTGGATCTACCACATCAAGTACAACAACAATTGGAACTACCACACCAGGTACAACAACCAGTGGAACTACCACTTCAGGAACAACAACCAGTGGAACTACCACCTCTGGAATAACCACAACCAGTGGAACTACCTCATCAGGTACAACAACTAGTGGAACTACCACCTCTGGAACAACGGCAAGTGGAACTACCATTTCTGGAACAACCACAACCAGTGGAACTACAACTTCTGGAACAACCTCAACAAGTGGAACTACCACATCAGGAAAAACTACAACCAGTGGAACTACCACGTCTGGAACAACAACCAGTGGAACTACCACCTCTGGAATAACCACAACCAGTGGAACTACCTCATCAGGTACAACAACTAGTGGAACTACCACCTCTGGAACAACGGCAAGTGGAACTACCACTTCTGGAACTACCAGAACCAGTGGATCTACCACATCAAGTACAACAACAATTGGAACTACCACACCAGGTACAACAACCAGTGGAACTACCACTTCAGGAACAACAACCAGTGGAACTACCACCTCTGGAATAACCACAACCAGTGGAACTACCTCATCAGGTACAACAACTAGTGGAACTACCACCTCTGGAACAACGGCAAGTGGAACTACCATTTCTGGAACAACCACAACCAGTGGAACTACAACTTCTGGAACAACCTCAACAAGTGGAACTACCACATCAGGAAAAACTACAACCAGTGGAACTACCACATCAGGAACAACTACAACCAGTGGTACAACAACATCAGGAACAACTAGAACCAGTGGAACCACCACTTCTGGAACAACTAGAACCAGTGGAACTACCACATCAGGAACAACTACAACAAGTGGAGCTACCACCTCTGGAACAACTAGAACCAGTGGAACTACCACATCAGGGGCAACAACCAGTAGAACTACCACTTCTGGAACAACAACAAGAGGAACTACCACGTCTGAAACAACTTCAACCAGTGGAACTACCACATCAGGTACAACAACCAGTGGAACTACCTCTTCTGGAACAACAACAACCAGTGGAACTACCACTTCAGGTCTAACAACCAGTGGAACTACCACGTCTGGAACAACAACAACAACAACCAGTGGAACTACCACATCAGGTACAACAACCAGTGGAACTACCACTTCTGGAATAACTACAACCAGTGGAACTACCACCTCAGGAACGACTACAACCAGTGGTACAACGACATCGGGAACAACTACAACCACTGGAACTACCTCTTCCGGAACAACTTCAACCAGTGGAAGTACAACATCAGGAACGACTATAACCAGTGGTACAACGGCATCGGGAACATCTACAACCAGTGGAACTACCTCTTCTGGAACAACTTCAACCAGTGGTACTATGACATCAGAAACAACCACAACCGGTGGTACTACCACATCGGGTACAACAACCAGTGGTACTACCACTTCAGGTACAACAAGCAATGGAATGACCTCACCTGGAACAACCACAACCAGTGGTCCTATCACAACATTAACAGCCAGAACCAGTGGATGTTTATAATGAAATAACTCAACTGTACTTATTCGTAAAAGTAAAAAGTGTTTAAGACGATAACACACATTCTTCATCTTACCCCAAAGACACCATTCAAAAAGGTTAAATACGGTCCTTTTTAACAGAAATATTAATTAAAACACATCAGTTCTACCACTTTTACCGTTACTTGTAACACGTTCTCAACATCCACATTTGCTTCATTCAATTCAGGACCCGTGAAGATCCGGGGTAGAATAGGTCTACCCATGCTTGCTGTAAAAGGCGACTATGCATGTCGTAAGAGGCTACTAACGGGATCGGATGGTCAGGCTGGTTGACTTGGTTGATGCATGTCATCGTATCCCAATTGCTCATGATATCAGTCACTGGATTGTCTGGTCCAGACTCGATTATTTACAGACCGCCGACATAGCTGTAATATTGTTGTTAAACAACAAACAAACAAAATTTACAAAATGAAAAATAATCAATTATTTTCATTTGGCAGAAATATTATGTCACACTGTGTTGAAACGCTGTCTGGAGTCAAATAATATTGTCACTTGTAAATAATATATTTTTGACAAATGTAGCCTGGATGGACTTGGTATAAGGATAGCTTTCATATCTATTAATAACTTAATAATGTTTCAGTGCCACCAACATGTTGGGAAACGTGGGGAGAGTGGTCCGCCTGCGAATCTGGATGTGTCGCCGTTACGAGAACCAGAAACAGAAACTGCACTGATGACGTCAGGTGCAACTGCGATTCCTCGAATGTACAGGAGAATCCATGTCCATCAGACTGTTCTACACGTAAGTTGGCACCAGTTTGTTCTTCACACGAAACTAGAATATATCCCATGTCAGAAGTTACACGTTAGTTGGCACCAGCTAGTTCTTCACACGGAACTAGAATATATCCCATGTCAGAAGTTACACATACGTTGGCACCAGCTAGTTCTTCACCCGAAACTAGAATATATCCCATGTCAGAAGCTACACGTTAGTTGGCACCAGCTTGTTCTTCACACGGAACTAGAATGTATCCCATGTCAGAAGCTACACATAAGTTGGTACCAGCTAGTTCTTCACACGAAACTAGAATATATCCCATGTAAGAAGTTACACAAAAGTTGGTATCAGCTAATTCTTCATACGGACACTTGTTGAATATGACTTAAAGAAACATTAATTTACTCACTCACTATTTCTTTCCATAGCTGTTTGCGGAGAAAACATGAAGATCAGTACAAACTGCAATGAGACCTGTGAGACCTGTTACGGCATGCGATTTTCCGCGTCCTGTGTGACCGCTGGTGACTGCGTCATTGGTGAAACATGTGTCTGTGAGGAAGGCTACAAGATGGAGGACTCCAAGTGCATACCTAAGGAAGAATGTGGATGTTACGATAGTGAAGGGAAAAAGTACAATGAAGAAGAAGTTTACCCATCAACAACTGGAAACACATGTGAAGAATGGTATTTCAAGTTTTTAAAGTCGTTTCTATCTCATATGATATTGATAACATGAATTCTGAACTAACTTTATGTAACTAAGGAAGCTTAGTTTACTATAAGCCTGTAGGAGGTACGTTTTCTCCCCATAAACTCTTGGCAAATGAGTTTCCGTACACCTCTGCAGGTCCGATTGATTTGGTGCGATGAGTTGTCCGTTGTCTCTCCTTCCAATAACTGATAGCTTATTACCCTAAAAGCAAGCTGAAGGGAAGAAAGAAAAAACTGGAGAATGTTTGAACTTGACATTCATTCGTTCCCTTACCGTCCCGTATCGTTCCCGTATCGTATTCTGCACTGAATTGTGGCCAGGGGTGTAACAAAATAGCCCACTTTTTAGAATTTATCTTCTTGAAATTCACCGTTTCAAATGTAGTGAAACATATTGTATTTGTACTGTGGGATATCAAATGGGATATCCTTAAGCAGATAATATTATGTGGCCAACGGTAAAAGCGTTTCTAGAAATACCTACTGGCTTTGCCTGCTCAGAAGATGATTGAAACTTGTAGAAAATATTGCCCTACTGTAATGTCAAGACGAAAACCTGTAATCGTTTGGATACATCGCATCATCATGTTGTACCAATCATTTTTGTTTTGTTTTCAGCAAATGTAATTTTGAGAAAAAATTCGTCTGTATGCCAAAGGAGAACTGTAAGTATCCACATTGCTTTTTTTTTTTTCATGGAGAGTTGATATTGTTAATGACTTAGTCAATAGCTGAAAGAGTGAATGCGAATTGTGCCTAACAAAGTTGGAAGTAAACCAGTATCGCATCGCATGAGTATTATCATGATGTGCTGATGTGACCTACACACTATAGAAAACCGATATTACATCTTGTTAATGTTTCTGTAAGATCAAAAGTTCTTACATATGTAGTGGATAAAATGCAGTATGCCATCAATGTAACTAGTATGTTAAGTATTGACACTGGAATGATTCACCTGTATTACATTAAGGAAAAATTGCATTTTTTAAATGAATAAAAACCTCCAGTACAGAATATTTGGGCAACTCCCATACCCACGTATGATGTTTTTCGAACAGTAACATTTTACTGTAAAGATTACAATATGCATTGTTTGGATACCAAACAAATAATTTTTTATCGAATATCTCGATTAACTCGACTTACTAGGTAAGTCTCTCATTTGAAAACAAAGTATTATTGATTGCATGTTTTGCCTAGGCTGCAACTGGGCTGAATGGACATCGTGGGGTGCATGCGATCCACTATGCGGAAAGAATGCCACAAAATCGAGGACAAGGTTTGTGTTGGCTAACTGATCACTTTCTGTCTTTCTGGGGTATGTTTGACATTCTGGGAATATCAATGCAGACAGGAACCAATCTTTAACCTAAACAACTTAACGGCGAACCACGATGCGACTGAGAATTACAGATGACGTCAGGGACACTGTTTGCACTGTCGTTTAAAAAGATTTTTGTTTGTTATATGAAGACAAATGCTTGTTTCTTTAGGATCGCACAGAGCGCAGCTACCTGCGAGGAGCAACAGCCGAAGACTGAGACCGCCGACTGCGTTGTACCACTATGTGCTTGCAATTATGGGGGTAACGTCATCCCAAGCGGCGAAACGGTCAGAGAGGAGTGTTTCACTATGTATGTACATGGCACATTTAGACATAATCATTAAAATTAGTTTGTCCGTTCAAAGGAAGGCAGTTGCTCTTTTCCCAGTGTGAGTTAATATTTAGCTATTATATTTTTTTATAAACTTACAAACAAGCTGCACGCACATTCACTTACAAACACACACATACACGTCCTCATACATACAAAAGCAGACTTCTGCATAATAGTTTTAGCATTTGTCTTATGAATCCGAATTTATTTGTTCCAGTGAATGCGAAGACGGAAACTACACCAAGGTTCCCGGGTCACCAAGTACGTTATGCTAAGGATTTAGAAACGATGAGAACATGTGTGCAAGGATGAATATCATACTATGCCAAACTCTTGAAAACCAAATCAAAGCTTATTCATTGACATGGCAGAAACTATTTATCGACCTTCAATTATCCAATTGTTCTCCCTCAAGCATACCTAACTCTCTGCCCTCTATCAAAGATAAAATGACTGGGTATCCCAGATCTTTGTGTACTGGGTTTAATATATGTTTACTTTTGCAGTTGATGGCAAGTATAAGGAATGGAGCCAGTGGTCAACCGATTCTTGTAATGGAAAGATGTGCAGGGACAGGAACATGACAAGGTCAAGAGAGTGCGATGGACCAAAATGCGAAGGCCAAGACTGTGCTAATGGTCCCATACATGAGGAGACAGAGCCTTGTGGAACAGCCGAGTGTACGTTTTAAACCTTCAGTTACCGGATACTGGTGTTCAGTCTCGGTTCTTTTAGGGTCTTTGGTTTGTTTTTCCCATGTGTGGTGTCCCATGCAATGATATTAATGGGCGTCGTAAAATTCCTTTCATTTTAGCGATATTGTGCTTACGTATCATATCAAATAAAACTGAGTATTGTATATAACGTTATGATTTCTCTTTTGTGGATTCAATGAGGTGTAATGCGTCGTTAACGTTTGGTAGCATTTCGGGAAGCCCAGTTGTTAAGAGGTCGTACGCAAAGGTTTCATTCACCAAATACGTATAATGTGGGAGGATTAATGCTGCTGCATCATTCCAGGGTTTTGTTAAACTATTGCTCTGAAGTGGCGTAATATTGACATGTGTGATAGACTGGTGATTTACTGATGCTATGATAACACAGACAGACAGACAGTTTATTCAGTAAGAAGGCCATAGGTCCATAATACAGACAATGGTTGATTGCATGAACTACGCATGCCAAGGAAGTAATCGATTTAAGTTTCTCTTAGCCGTTGGACTTTATATAGATATAAACATGTGTTATATACAACATCAAAGTTTTCTGATGAAATAATTTCAGTAAAAGAAACAGAAACAAGAAACTTGATATACTGTTTAAGATACATATTTCTTAGGGCTGAATAACGCTGAATAAAGTAAAACATGAAATTCATCTTCAATAAAAGATATACCATTTTCTATACAATATTTACATAATCGTTCAGTGTATGGGACATTTGTGTATCTCCCCAAGTCAATTGCAAGTTTAAACTTGCTACATATGAAACGAGTCATACATATTCTCAGATGTACTGGTATGGGGAGTGTAAGATATTTTTCAACATTTAACAGGGATTTAAAATGTTTATAATAAAAGGTATAAGATATACTATTGATAGAACTACACCATGATTGTTGAAGGTTATCAAATACTATTTGCTTAAAAAGATGAATAAATATCTTCACATCTTGTGTTAACCATACATATCCAAAACCTAATTTAAACAAAATATTCTTAATGGGAGTAGCCCATGTGGTGCGACCAGAATGGTCAAGTGATTTGAGCATTAGGATATAATTGTTCTCTCTCACAGGCTGCGAGCCTGTATGGACTGCTTGGACCGAGTGCAGCAAGGAATGCGTCAAAGATGGTGAAGACAAAGGTGTCAGAACAAGGAACTTCACAATCGCCAATCCCGACGACAAGAACTGTCAGAACACTGAGATGACCGAGGAGTCCTGCGGAGAGCCATGCTATTGTAAGCTTCTGATTGCATTATAGTAAAGGTAGCAGTAGAGGTTTCAATGGGATATCATCATAATAGTCACGTTTATGTTCAGACCTTACTAGCGTTTGTCAAATATATCAAATAGTCGTCACACACATTATAGAATTCTGTGAATGGATTCTTGAGGAAATATGTGGATACCTTGAATGTGAATAAAAATGTAACATTTCCTCAGACTGCTAACAATGTAACATTGCCTCAGACGCTAACAATGTAACATTGCCTCAGATGGCTAACAATGTAACATTGCCTCAAATTGCTATGTAACATTGCCTCAGACTGCTAACAATGTAACATTGCCTCAGATGGCTAACAATGTAACATTTACTCAAACTGCTAACAATGTAACATTGCCTCAGACGGCTAACAATGTAACATTCACTCAGACGGCTAACAATGTAATAATTTATAGTATGTCCGCCAAAACATGTATTTGCTTGAACGGCCAACACATGTTATATTTACTCAAAAGGCAACAAGTACGTTTGGAGCGAATGGGCAACATGTGAAGGCACATGTGGACTTCAGAACGTCACAAGAACACGTGATATACAGAATGATGTGAGGTGTCAAGATGTGCCAACAGAGGAGTCCCGCGCGTGCTACATTGAAGCATGCAGTAAGTACATTCATTAAACGATCGTTTAATGGTTATGTATTCTTCATCCTTAAGCGTTGTCTGTGGTATACATTTCGTGATTTCTCTCAATGATGTTTATTTTTATGAATACAAATATTGATAAGTAGTCTTCGAAGTTCGTTATACTTGACTATCCAGTTTCAATGTTGCTATTCCATGTTCATGCCAAACCTTGGTTTATTTCTCGTTTAACACAACTCCCAGCAATAAGCCAGCTACATGACTGCGGTGTGTAAATAATCTAGTATGATCCAGTGATTGACATCATGAGCATCGATCCACGCAATTGGGATACGATGACAGAAAATACACCAAGTCAGTGAGCCTGATCACCATGTCCCATGAGTTGCCTCTTACAACGAGCATAGGTTGCTCAATTCCATCTTCAAGCAAAGAGCCAAACTTGGAAATGAAATTTCTTTTTTTTCAGAATGCGACAAACCCAACGAGGAGTATAGCAACTACACCTACTGCCAAATGACTTGTGAAGATAGGACCCCGAAGGACAACTGCGATGCCACTCCAATGCCCGGATGTATGTGTACCAACAACACTGTCCGACGTGGCAGCGATTGCGTGACAATAGAGGAGTGTCAAGAATGTATTTATAACGGTGTGGTGTTTAAGGTGAGTTTCCATAACTCTGTTTCACACTGCTACTATTACTGTAGACTGATTAAGAGTGCTAATGGGCAGCAATATTATAGATAGAGAATAACACCCTATTAGTCAGTATTATATTGATTGTGATCTCATTTCTATACTTTGAGAATAAAAAGGGACATTGGGTTCCTCTCTTCGACGCAATATATTCTAGCTTGCGTAACCAAGCCATGCTGAAGGGGTTTGTGAGCCTCGCTAATGAAACATCTGTTACAAAGAAAATTATTTTCGTCGAATATAATTGTTTGGAAATACGATAAGTCGTTCAGCCAGTTGTAAGTGTTTTTGACGTCATGATATCCGTACGGGCATACTACTGGATTTACAGGACGTCGTCACCATGATAGATGTCAGACGAGTAACATTAACGCTGTTCTCTTATTCCAGGACGGAGACGTCATCACGGATCCATTAGATAACTGCACCAAGTTCATCTGTGCAGAAGGGGTGCCACTGTCACATGACGACTGTGTGAAAGAATGCAACTCAGTAAGTATTGATGTTATTCCAAACAAGGATCTGCAATATTAACTCTTACTAACGTCGTATGACAACCAATTGATGACAACGTGAACACTCGGGATGTGATAACACGCTAACAGTTAGGTCACACGTTGATTCTTGTGGGCTCGCACGACCATTCTGCCCCGTTGATACATTTGTAGAATAAGTGGTGCATTTCGGTTCCTTCTTGTCGTTGAAAAACTATGCGTATTTAAAAGGAAAGATGTAATGGCACAGCAATCGCAATGAAAATGGTATATGTTTATTTCTAAACAGCGACACTGAGGCTGAATAATAAATAGACCAGGACAGTCGTAACTGTAATCCAATTCCCAAGATATTGTTTATTTCATCTAAATGACCCTCCTTGATTAGGACCATAGTCTGATCTGCAACCATTCCTTGTTCCAATGGCGGCCATAAGTGGCGTTGATGCTCTTTCAAATGAAGAATTCTTCATTGCCCCTTTCTGATCAGATTGCACTGCTGGGTGTGTTGTCACAAGCGTATTAGTAGTACACTGTTACATATCTATATGGAAGTATCCACGTCTGCTTGGCTCCATCATCTGAAACCATTTTTTAATATATGTTTCATGAATGAGCAGTTCTTTTGAAATAAAAAGGTGTTGCTATTTTTTATATACTATTTTTAGCCTAAGGTTGTTTAGTGAACAATCCTTTTTCACACAAAAAAGCCTTACATGGTTAATATAACAAAAAAGGTTGGGATTATGAATATTGCTGGGGATATTTTTATTAAATTGTGAGCTCAGCCTTCACGGCAAAAACATCTACAACAATATTATGATCCCTAACTTTGTTTGTTCCATATAGTATCTTAATTACATATCAATGTATGTCACCAACCAAGTCTCGAACGATGTAGGGCGGAATATTATTGAGGACCCCATGAAATTGATGAATGAGGTGCAAATAAACTTCAACTATTCATTACAGGACACCGAAGATATGGTTCTTGCTCCCGAAGGCTCTTGCTGCAAGTATGAATGTAAGAAGAAGACATGCCAACCCTCTGCTGAAAAGGTCAAGATTGGCGTGGAGGGTTGTATTGCAAGCTTTGAGGTAGATCAGTACTTCTGCAAGGGTGACTGCGGGCCTAGTTCCTTCACCTACGATGTCTCTAAGAATAACGAGATGGTGAAGGAGTGTAGATGTTGCATCCCTGCCGAGACGTCTCTCCAGAACTACACCGTCACCTGTGACGACAATTCTCCCCGTACCATCAGCATCAGGAAAATCACCAGCTGCTCTTGTAACATGTGGTACGTATAACAACCTGCACGCCCAACATGTTTGGACTTCATGCCCCTGTGAACAGCATTTCATTAGCGACATTGCCATGTAAGGTTGAGGTAAAGAGTGACACAGATCAAAGACTTTAATCTAATGGGTGAAACCTACCAGCAGTGGTAGAGCTTCGACAAACCGAGGATAATGATTGTGGTGTGTCTAGGATTTGAACCAATGACCAGCCGACACTGCATAGAGCGACACATCCTCTTAAAGTATTCGGCCAACCGTTTTATGAGTACCTGTCGATTTCTTATCACTTATCTCTATTGACCCTAATCGTAGTTTCTTTAATTGAACGCTGGTACATCAATAAGCCAAACGTCTATATGGGTCGCGGGAGGGGGGTGCGATCATCTGAAGCAGAGTTGCGTCTCTTCGTAGAGTCAGGATCCGCGGTGGGCGAATATTCGAATCCCAGCAACTATCGGATTTTGGTGTTTGGTTTGTCAGCACCGTGCCACTTGCATACTGTCTCCCCCCACTGAGCCGTCTATACTTCTTAAAGCAGCGTTAACTCAGTCACGCCCTGACTTACGTCTTCAGAAGCTTCAATATTATGCATGTCCTCTCTTTAAATGTTCTTTGTATTTAGGAGTCTTCTCGTTAAATGTATTGTAATGTTAGCCTGTCTGGTAACGTACTTTGTACAGTTACAAGACCGTGTTTCAATAGAGTAATCCGATATGCCGTGTTTCAATAGAGTAATCCGATATGCCGTGTTTCAATAGAGTAATCCGATATGCCGTGTTTCAATAGAGTAATCCGATATGTCGTGTTTCAATAGAGTAATCCAATATGCCGAATGCGTCCTTCAGGGGTTGTGACTCTGTTATTTTGTTTTTTTCAGTGCGTAAAGGCCGCGGGTAACCAGTCTTGGAATATGTTGAAATAAAGACTGCAGTACTCACGCTACAGAGCAAGCATTATTAACTTATCTATGTATTTGTGAATTGTAATTTGAAAAGTGAATAAAATATGCATAATTATATAAATATAAATGTATGTGTTGTGTTGTGTTGTGCAGCTACTGCCGATGAGGGTAGTAGTCATTACTAAAACATGGAATTACGTAATGGACGCTGGATTCAAGGATATGTTCGGTTAGTCACACATTCAGTTGCGAGACATAGTTGAAACATCATCGGCAAATGGTGTTCGCTTAGCCAATCAAATGAACACATATATTTGTATTCGGCGACAAGCACATCAGCGATACAAAAGTTTATGTACATCAACACTACAATAAATAGAATGTGTCGGTTTGCACAACTCAATTTAAAAAGACGTAAAAAGAGCAAATAACACAAAAGCAGAGGGATGTGTCGGTTAGCAAACATCAACCTAACATCGAAAGACTTTGTATACACTACACAACATTTAAATATGTGTCGGTTTGAACAGATCAACACAACGCATAAAAGACGTGTCATCTTGAACATACCAATTCAACTGCAAAAACATGTGTAGGTTTGCACACATGTTTGGTTGCGGCTTTTGATGTCTTGTGATAGTTGAGAGAGAGAGAGTCAATGGATGGAAGGACTATGTTCGGTAAGCTTGATAACAAGTTTGAGTTTCCGTGGCTTTCCCAGATTACAGTGAAAGCAGTCACAGACCATGTGGTGCCAACTGACTTTGTTCTAAGTTTGTCTCTATTCAGCCAGCATTCAATACGTATCTGGCAGATGAGGTGATGTGGAACACGTGTGTGTGTGTAGCTGCTTGTTCTACCCGGAACTAGTGCCGGTTTCAGTGCCAGCCCACTGACATACCATGCTGCAGTATAACATGGATACCCCACTCAGACACAGTATACTGACTACCAGCCAACCGGTCTCTGTTTTATCTCCTAAACACCGAGCGCTAAGCGTGGTAACAAGTACCATCTGTTGATGTATTTTAGTATGACGCGGCCAGGGGATCGAACCAGCGACCTACCGCTTTCGGGGTAGCAGTTCTATCCACTAGACCGCGGAGGCGGTCAGTATCTGGTAAGATGCGGGGGTACTGTAAGACCTTTTCGCTGTACAGCTTGTACTGAGAATACACTTTTAAAGTCGCCTGATCGTTGATAACACTCAATCCAGTATTATAAGTGTCCCTACATTTGGATTAGAAGGTATTGTTAAAATATAATAGTGTCCACTATCACACAATTATATTCATTCTTTCCTGACGTGTGCGGGTTCCTTATATCCGCCGTAGAGGATTGTGTTCTAGGGGATACTTCTTCTTGTCTCCTTCTATATACGACACAAGTCCGTCTGAGGGTCCACAACAACTTTATTGAGACACAGTTACAACGTGTAGCTTTGACTCTCAGTCTCAACTGCCCAACTCGGCTGGTTCACAATCATATATATCTTTCCTCAACATATCTTACATTCCTGACCATGGTCCCAATAAGGTTATACCTCCTGACCAGTAGCACCTCGTCTGCAATCCCCCATGTTGTCAATACAGTGACCATCAGGATATCTTCTTTTTGGACTTGTATTCTAAGAATATCCCTGAGTTCTAGGAATACACCTGACTTCTCTCACCCCTTATTTAGACGTCCCTCCGTGGCTAACATGCGTGTTCTAGCCATGTCACCAGGAGTTCAAGGTGCATCACCCCCCCCCCCCAGGTACTCCGCAAGGGGGAGACTAAGGGGGAGACGAAGGGGGAGGGTGTGAGTAATGTCACTGATTGATGTTTCTTAATACAGAGCCCGTCCTGCAAATGAGGTACGGTGGTCAAGGTAATTATAAACATTCAGCTAAAAGAGAAACTAAAGTTATGAATGATATGTTAACATGTTTTCAAATGGACACCATTTTTAAACTGATTTTGGTTTTCTTTTAAAAATGATATACAATCAAGTGCGTGTGGACCACGTTTTATATTTTCCAATCTATACGTACATATATAAAATACACATGACTATATTATGTACAATGGCATAAACAAAATGGCGGCAGTGATGACAGCATAAATAGATGTTGACAATTTGTACGAATGGTAGTGATGGACAATATCGTTGACATGACGTCGACTTTAAAATTTTGCAATACTTATACATGTATAATTTACAAATTAAAATATAATCATCGGTTTCGTCGGTACAGTATAGACAAAATGTGCCAACGTTACAATATACCGATGAGAACAAAGAAATCATTTACATTTGTACATATGCTACTGCCGTAGCTCGTAATTACAATGGTACAAAGTCATCAGGTAAATATTTATGTTTGCAGAGAGGGGTGCAAGCGATGGGTATAACTGGGTGGTGGGCCTGGTTGTTTGGGTTTTTCAACTGCCTTGACCAAGTAATGGCAATGGCGTGGACCAAGTACAGGCTAGTTATATAATGGGACTTAAGTAGCCGTTTCAATTTTCTTGCCACTAGTAATGATACAGTGAGGTTGGGAGGGAGGACAAGGCGCGTTTGTGAGATTAGGTTAATGACTGACAAGTTGTTCCCTGGCCATGTAATCGTAAGTTGGTCAGAGAACAACCGGTGACTGTCATTGATGGCCACCAATGAAGGTGAATAATCCTGGTCAGAGAGGAATAGAACAAGAGGTGGGGCACAGATCTCGGCAATTTTCAGACAAACAGACTCGGTACCGGATGAAAAGCTAATGTGGAGTGTGGACACCACTCTTGTTTTGAGTTTGTATATGTAAAGGCTTAACATGAGGACAACCAGGAACATGAGCATTAGCATGATTATTTCCAGTTTGAGATACTCTTGAATACGAGTAAGTATGGACCGTGTAGAGTTGGCAGGTGTGGAGGGAGTCCAAACTAATATGTCCGGCGTTGTTGATACGGTCACCGCAGTAACACCTCGGGCTAGTAGTTGGACCCGCAGGAGGCTAATTCTACGGTTCATGGTAAATAGTATGAATCCAAAGATAATCAATATTCCCCACATTGCCATGTTTAGATAAGTAAACGGGTTAGTCCAACCGAATGTATCGGACTCTCCGGTCAGGGAATTTATAAACAACGGATCAGAGGGATCAGTATATATAATCTGATCTGCCTTTGCTTGTGCCACCACGTATTTAAGGTTGATAACACTCAATCCAGTATTATAAGTGTCCCTACATTTGGATTAGAAGGTATCATTAAAATATAATAGTGTCCACTATCACACAATTATATCCATTCTTTCCTGACGTGTGCGGGTTCCTTATATCCGCCGTAGAGGATTGTGTTCTAGGGGATACTTCTTCTTGTCTCCTTCTATATACGACACAAGTCCGTCTGAGGGTCCACAACAACTTTATTGAGACACAGTTACAACGTGTAGCTTTGACTCTCAGTCTCAACTGCCCAACTCGGCTGGTTCACAATCATATATATCTTTCCTCAACATATCTTACATTCCTGACCATGGTCCCAATAAGGTTATACCTCCTGACCAGTAGCACCTCGTCTGCAATCCCCCATGTTGTCAATACAGTGACCATCAGGATATCTTCTTTTTGGACTTGTATTCTAAGAATATCCCTGAGTTCTAGGAATACACCTGACTTCTCTCACCCCTTATTTAGACGTCCCTCCGTGGCTAACATGCGTGTTCTAGCCATGTCACCAGTAGTTCAAGGTGCATCCCCCCCCCCCCCCCCCCCCCCCCCCGCCCCCAGGTACTCCGCAAGGGGGAGACTAAGGGGGAAACGAAAGGGGAGGGTGTGAGTAATGTCACTGATTGATGTTTCTTAATACAGAGCCGGTCCTGCAAATCTTGCCTCTGATACTTACTTAGAGTATACTGTGTACAAATAAATCAAAAAAGGAATATTTGATCAAAACGGTGTGAGTGTAACACTGTGACAAATACAGACGTCACGTCAAGAATAGTGGAGTGACCACCTTCACAGCAATTAATACAATTGTTGTGGAAGAGGTCGTTAGATCTGACCATCTACCACAGTGCACAGTGTGAATGTACTGTACACTAGGGGTAGTGACAACATTTAGTCTGTCTTACAGACCCTGATACAAATTAATATCAAATACAGCCCATGCAAGTCTATAATGTTTGGCAAGTCTAGATCACTGCAGTATCTGAAAATGAAGAGAGTCACTGGGCTCCTTTTTATTATATTTTTATTAAGATAACTGAACAACTGTTTTTTTATGTAAGATGTGTTAATTTCAGAGACTAGATGTTAGTCTATGACAACATTGTAAAGACCCGGGCCCTGTTCCACAAAGCGTTCGTAGCGCTACGACTGTCGTAAGTCTTATATGTTAAGGTATGGGAATCTTAGCGCTACGAATGCTTTGTGAAACAGGGCCCTGGCGCTTGCTAACCGTTCCACGGTTGATTATACTAATTTTCACCATTTGCCGGGGTAGTTTCTATAACGTTAGTTCCACACAAATAATTAAAACTAGTTTTTGCAATGGGCGGTAAACAATAGTGGACGATAAACAATTGGGCACAATATAATTATGTATTCTACTTTTTGCAGATGATATAATTTTTATAGATAGCACAGTGCTGGGAATGAAAAAATATTGAATAAATAGTTGCTCATTGCAATAAAAGGAAATTAAGTACTAACAATAACAAGGGCAAAGTTATTGTCTTTTGGGGCGGTTGGGCGTTTACGTAATTGTGAAAAGTGTTTTCTTGGGGAGGAAAATGTTGAAATTGTCCCTATTAATTAATACTTAGGAACTCGTCTGTCATCATTAGGAAACTAGCATGCAACCCAAAAACACTTTCTCCAGAAGCCACAAAGGTTTTAAATACTTTGAAAAATAGAATTAGAGATTTTTTATAACCTACCCTATGCTGTACTCTTACATGTGTTCGATGTTAAGATCTCGCAAATTCTCCTGTATCTATCTGGGGATTTCATCATTGGCGAGATATTATTAATGTTCATGGTCGCTTTTACAGATCTCAAATCTGAATAGATCAGTTCCCAACATCTGGGTAGAAGTTCCATAAAAAAGTTAACCAACTTATGAAAATATAATACAATTTTGG